TTTAAACTGGGCAAAGTACTTGAATAGACATTTCTCAAAAAAAAGAGACAAATAGCCAATAAAACCATGAAAAGCTGCTCAACATCATTAATTAGGTAAACACAAAACTATAGTTAAGACACCACTACACATTCAGTATGATGGCTATAATCATAAGGAGGGATAATAATCCTCAAACACTGCTGCTGGGAAATATAAAATGGTGCAGCCAATTTGAAAAACGGTCTGGCATTTTTTTTAAAAGCTAAAACATATAGTTTCCATATGACAGCAATTCCACCCTTACACGTATACAGCTGAGCCTTGAACAACACGGGTTTGAACTGCATGGGTACACTTATACTCGGTGTTTTTATAGTACAGAACTCACTTTATTTTCTTTTCCTTATGATTTTCTAAATAACAGTTCTTTGCTCTAGTTTACTTTGTTGTAAAAATATAGCATATAATACACATAACATACAAAATGTGTGTTAATTGTTTATGATATTGGTAAGGCTTCCAGCCAACAGTAGGCTATTAGTAGCTAAATTCTGGGAGAGTCAAGTCACATGTGAATTTTCAAAAGCGTTAAGAGTCAGCAGCACAGCCCACACCTTGTTCAAAGGTGAACTATATATTTACTTTACATGACTCAGCAATTCCTTACATATATATATATATATATATATATATACACACACACACACACACACACACACACACACACACATATATATCCAAGAGAATTAGAAATAGTCACACAAAAACTTGTACACAGATGTTCAGAGCAGTATTACTCATGATAGCCAAAAAAAAAAAAACCACTGGAATGTCCATCAACTGATCAACAGATAAACAAAATGTGGTATATCCATACAAGGGAGTATTATTCACCCACTCAGATGAAGGACTGATAAAAGCTACAACATGAAGGAACCTTCAAACCAACAGTCTAAGTGAAAAAAGCCCAATATAAAAGGCCACATACTGTAGGACTTCATTTATGTGAAATATTCAGAATAGGCAAATTCAGAGATACCAAAAGTAGATTTGTGGTTCTCAGGCGCAGTGACTGCTAATGGCTACAGAACTTCTTTTTGGAGTGATGAAAATGTTAAATTAGATAGTAGTGATGGTTACAAATCTCTACTAACAGATTAAAAACTATTGAAATGTACTCTAAAAGGCTGAGTTTTATGATATGTGAATATTATCTTAATTTAAAAAAAACAAAAGAAATCTAAATGTAATTATTCACTTTGAAAGGATAATACCAGAGGAAACTCAGATCTTTAAGAATTAAGAGTAACAGAAATAGTAAACATAGATAAATATGAGACACTATTTTTTTCTCTTAATTTACTTAAAACTTAAAGTCATAACATACTACATACATCCATACATAGTAATCAAAGGTTTAAATCTCTTTCTACATTCTTACAGAAAACACACCCATTTCTATCTTATAATAATTAGAACTCCTTCTGGTCTTGCTCCTGCTCTGTTCCCTTATCTGACTATAGAAGGCAGGAAATCTGATAGTGGCCACTTTAGGACTGTCTTGAGCTAAAGACACATATGATAAATACCTCTGGAGAATGGTATGTTTTAGAAACCTAGAGTAAATTCATATGAAAGCAGCAAAGCAATATAGAGGCATAGACCCTGATAATGATGTATGAAATTGCTCTAAAAGAATAAAGTCCAAAAACCTTTAAAAAGAAAAAAAAAGAATGAAGTCCAGGGCGCCTGGGTGGCTCAGTCAGATAAGCATCTCTTGGTTTTGGCTCAGGTCATGATCTCAAGAGTCATGAGATGGAGCCCTGCATTGGGCTCTGAGCTCCGTGAGGAGTGTGCTTGAGGATTCTCTCTTTCCTTCTCCCTCCCCGTGTGTGCATGCCCACGCTCGCTCTCACTCTCTCGCTCTCAAATAAATCTTTAAAAGAATAAAGTCCATTAATTAAAAAAAAAAACTTAGTAACAAGGCATGGCCATTCAACCCTATGTGAGGAACTTTGACTTTTTTAAGTAACTTTCTCCACGGCAATGTTGCACAATATAGGAGAGACTCCTGGAGTTGTGGTCACTATGGTCCTGACCATTCCACCATGGCATTTTATTTGCCCCCTCCACTAAGTTATAAATTCTTTGAGGTGCTGTGTCTGTCATATTTGTTCTAGTTTCTCTGGAGCACCTCGTATGTACTTGTTACTTTCGAACCAAGAACTACTTCCAGGTTAACTGGAAGGACAGGGGTCCTGTGAAGAGTAGCTACCACAGTATCCATTTTCTCAGCATGCTCTCCATGATCTACATTTCAAGCATCACACCCCTGTCCTCCCAAACACAACCTCTTGTAAATCCCCAACAATTCCTCAGTCCAACTAAGATTTATGGTCTGTTCATCAAACAACATTTCCTCCATCCTTTGCTCCCTTCATAAACCCCCATTCCCAGTCAAGCTTGGAGTCCACGGTCCATCATTATCCCTGCCTCCCATATCATTCCAACCGCCTTTATGGTGGATGCCTGGAAAAATCCAACCCAGGGTAAATCCAACACTCCACCTCCTTCTTGCTTGTGGGTTGCTGGATAAACAACTGTCCTGTTACTTGGGGCCTCATGTTCAACTTATCACCATCCTCAAGTGAACCGTTAGTCCCGTTCTGATCCACCCACTCTCTCAAGTTTCTAGACAATTACTTCATACGTTTGTGTTCTCTTCAAACCTCCAAAGCCTCTCATTCTCAGGTCACAACCTCGTTTCCTCTCACTGAGAAAGCGGCATCAGGAAACAATTTCCCTAAGACCTGAAGCCACATCTACTCACTTAGCAGCAACTGTCCCTTATACTCTGCATTCCCTCCTATCCTTGATCCCATATAACCCATCCTATATAAACTATAGGATACATAAGATTAACCTATATAACCCATCGGCTTGTGTGTTAAGAGTCTATTCCCTCATCCCCCTTAATAACTCACTAGCATAAGTAAATGTTTCCTCTTGCCCCTGCATTAGCAAAATTTCCCTCTACTGGATCAGTTCTGTCAGCATACAGAGATGCTGTCATTTCTCCCATCTTAAACAACCTTTTCCACTCCACACCCCCCTCCAGGTACTGCCCCAGCTCTCTGTTCCCCACTGGAGTAGTCTCCATGCACTATTTCCCAACTTCTACTTGAACAAGTCTTGCTCCCACTAATCTGCTAAAACTGCCAGTCGAGATCCCAGAGACACCATCTTGCTAATTCCAGGGGTAACCTCCTAGACCTGCCTTTATTCAACCTGTTTGCTACAGCTTATCATTATCCCCTCCTTTGAAGGCTTTCTTCACCTGACTTCTAGAATCCCATCCTCACTGGTTTCCCCCTCAACACCCAACACTAGAGTGCTCAACCTTGGAACCACCTCCTTTCCCTATCTATACTTACCAAGAGGTCACATCCAGATTTACAGCTTAAAATAACATCTGTATAAGGAAGACTCCCACATGTTTATCTTCAATCTCTCCAAGGAGCTCATCACTCATATGTCCAAATGCCTACCTGACACCTCCACATGGGTGCTTAATAAATACCCCAAATTCAGCACATCCAAACAGAACTCATAATCTTCCTTCCAAACCTGGTCCTTCTAAAGCCTTCCCAATCTTGGAAAATGGCAAACCCATCTTTCTGGTTCCTCAGGCCAACACTTGACAGTCATTCTTGATTTTTCTCCTTCTCTACAAACTCATATTCAAATCTTCAGGAGATCTAGTCTGGCACTACCTTCAAAAATACATCCTGAATCTGACCTTTCTTCATGACCACGTTACCGCCACCCTAGTGCAAGCAACATCTCTAGGCTGGATCATTCAGCAGCCTCCACCACTCTCCTGCCTCTTCCTTTGCCCCTTTTCCCACATACATCTCTTCTGAATCACATTGCACAAGGCCCTACGTCATCTGATTCCCCACTACCCGTCTCTGGCCTCAATCTCCTCCGTTTCCCCTTGACCACACCAGTTATGGGCTCAATTATATCCCCCACAATATTCACATGAAGTCTTAATCCCAAGTAGGAATGTGACCGTAGAGTTCACTCTTGAACAATGTGGGCTCTAGGGGAGCCCCCCCATTGTGCAATCAAAAATCCACATGTAACTTTTGACTCCCCCAAAACTTAACAACTCATAGCCTACTGCTGACCAGAAGCCTTACAGATAACAAGCAATTAACACATATTTTGTAATGTTTTATGTATTATATACCTTATTCTTAAAAATATTTCTTGTTAATTTTTTCAGTATTTCAAGGTTGTGCAGTTTACCTGTAAGTTTTTCCAAACTGTCACAAATCTCCAAAAAATTTTCCAATGTTCTTATTGAAAAACAATCCATATATAAGTGGACCTCCACAGTTCAAATCCTTTTTTTTTCAAGTGTCAACTATATTTGTCAATCTGGCCTGAAAAGAGATAATTAGGGTTAAATGAGACCATTAGGGTGGACCCTCAACCAATACAACTGGTGTCCTTACAAGAAGAGGAGATTAGGACACCAACACACACAGAGACCAGATGAAGACACAGAAAGGACAGCCATCTGTCAGCCAAGGAGACAGGCCTCAGAAGAACCAACCCTGCCAACACTTTGATGGCAGACTTCTGGACTCCAGAACTGGGAGAAATCAATGTCTGTTGTTTAAGCCACCTTGCCTGCGGTACTTTAGCTGTGGCAGCCGAGTAGATATTATCTGCTTCATCACATTCATCTCCTTGTGCTTTCCTGAATACACCAAGCATACATGTCTCAGGGCCTGTGCAGTTATCTTTCCTCTAGGCAGGGTTAAGGATTATACCAGGTCCATCTTCAGCTGCTAAAACCAAGGCCTGAGGACATTAAATGACTTGCCCAAATAAGAGGTAGAGAAAAGACAAAATCACATTTTATCTGGTCTGTGATGTATGAGAAATATCTCCACACTCAACCAATACTAGATACTTAAAGAAAAAAAAAAAAAAAAAACACTTACTTTTCGACCCAGAGCACTGAAACGAGCTTCACACCTCTATTCTGTGCTTTGTCCCAAGTGCTCTGGTATCCATCCTTGAATACAACATGAGTCACTTGTTTATTAAAAGTTTTTGAAACCTGTAGACAAAAGGCAGAAAACAAAATGTAAATTATCATTTCTGAACAATTTCATAAGTAAAATTGATTAAAAAGGATACTTTATTCAGTATTTGACAAAAGGAAAATATCTAAAACCCCTACCCCAGCAAGTCCATTTCTCATAATCTGTCCCAGAGAACTATGCTAGCAAATGGATAATGCCACTTAGAAAACCTATCTGCTCCAGTTAGGATGGTGTGTTATACATGTGTTTATCTCTGCTCCCTCTCAAAAAATGTGACGTAGAGAGTTAGAGCTCTACGAGGATAAAAAGGAGAGGGAATGTGGACAGGAGCCGGCAATGCATTTTTAGTAGAGGAGACAATGGGAGCTAAGCCAATTAATTTAAGACAACCTTCTACATCAGACATAAAATAAAATTCACAGGAAACAGACAATACAGGGAATACTTATGCAATTAAAATTAAAAACATTTAATGTATTTGGAAGAAAATAACATTCATTTAATCTTCAGAAGACACTATGTTCATGAAAGATATCTAAGATGGGGAGGTTTTTTTTTTTTTTTTTTTTTTAAAGGATCAGAGAACTAAAGAGCTCTTGGAAATTAAAAATATGATGACATAAGTAAAAAGAAAAGTCTATAGAAATGCTGGACAATAATAAAGTTGAGAAATTCTCCCTGTAGGACAAGACAACAGAAAGACAAGGAGATGGATGCAATAGGAGATATAAGATATGAACATCAGCTAAGACCAGGGGAACCAAGAGCTAAGTAATAATAGTTGAAGAAATACAGGAATAGAGAAAATGGAAAAGAAATAATTCAAGAAAAACTTCTCAAGTTAAAGAGCATGTGTTCTAGATCAAAAGGACCCCCCCACAAAGGCCCGGCATGAGAATGAAAACAGAACCATTTTAAGTATATCATCGCGAAATTTCCGTAGAGCTGGAGTAGAGAAAGATTTGACATTAAAAGAGAGAGTAAGGAAGTGAAGGTGGGGATAAATCGCACTCAACAGTGAGACATGACAATGTCATCAGCAATCTGGAAGTCAGAAAACAATGGAGAAGTTCCTTCAAGGAAAAATAATATACCCTTGGCATTTTACAATCAGCTAAAATATCAATCAAAGGTAAAGAAAGGTATAATAAAGACATGTTCAAACTCATGGTGTCAAAAACTTTACCTTTTATATGTAATCTTTCCAGAAGTGGAAATGGTCCAATACATCATTCTTTTAACAATATTTAATTTTATTAAATTATGTAAGTAATTTATGTACGGTGTTTGGCAATAAAAAGGTAAACACCAAAAGAAACAGGTAAAACAGATCTGAAAAAGGCTGCCTTAGAAAAACAGAATGAGAAATATAGAACAAAGGATTGCTGGTTTCTCCTTGTTTGTACTATGAACCTCATGGCACTGCACATTTGCCCTTTTAAGCAACATGTATGTATTGCTTTGATAAAATATACATATATATCTCTTTGTCTATCTACCTACCTACCTACCAGAAGACCCTGAAGAACTACTGAGGTAGTGAGGGGTTATTACTGAGCCAAGACTCTAGGTACAGACTGACACAACCAGACAGAGGAGTCTAACATTCAGGGTCATTTTTTCCCTAGGGCTTTTGTCAAATTTAGCAAACAATGGGTAGCACTTCTAAATGCCACTGAGGACAAGAGGGGCAAAACTTGGACTGCCAGCCTCAGAATGGGAGAAGGGAGTCTGGCAAAACCCTCGTATCTTGTATGGACACCCGAAGGGCAGATCCAGGAGTAAGAATAAACCATAATCATAGTGGCACTCACAGGTCTGCAGTCCAGTTTTAAATCATCTTCAGTCCCGCAACTGGATTAAGATAATCCTGGATTATGAGCACTAAAAACATGACTGAAGCAAATGTGAATCTCTTCTGAAGAAAGAGAATATAATTCTAGGTCTCAAATTAATTCCAAACAATTTTAAATACACATAATACTCAACTAGAAAGAAAAACAACAACAAACAAAACATCAAGCTAATCTATAGATGAGACAAGAACATAAACCACTAGATAAAATAAAAAGTAAAAGTAGACCTAGATATTGCAATCTACCCAACAAAGCCTTGGGGAATGCAGCTAAAATCCAGCTTAGGGAGAAATGTATAACCTAAAAAGCTGTCGAGAGTTTAGCTAAGCTACTCCAGCTAAGTACTGCTGTCTTGGCACCCATTTTTTTGGCCAAGCATTCTGCAGGAGTCTTAAACCAACACCAACCCCTCATACAAACACATACCCTAGATAAAAGCCCCCAGAGTCACAAGCAAATGTCAGTTCCCCAATGGCCCTTGAGCAACCATCTCCTCTGCCTTCAAGGTCCTTCCCATCGTGTGCCCCTTAGATAAGGTTCTGGAGCTACCAAAACCTCATTCTTTGGTTTGAATTGATTAATCCAGCCCTAGACTAGGAAACTGAAAGCATTCCATCCATGGACCCTAATAAAGACAGATGCCTCAGGTCCTCTCATTCTCTCTGGCTGTACTCTGCCCTGACCTTCCCATGTGGCATCATGCAACTCCTCCAAAACCTGTAATAAACTTCTGTTTCAATTTCTCTATAGTCTATTGTGTAACTGCTGTTCACCATTCAGCACCCTGTGTTCCACTTAAATATGAATTTAACAAAGTTAAAACAAATGCACGTACAAAAAGTAAGGTTAAATGTCAATGCGCTCAACTTGAAAAGCGGGAAAAATAACAGCTATTTAAAACCAAAGACTGAGTTAGAGGATTATAAAAATGAGGCCAGAATTAATAAAAAAGAAAAGGAGGATCAAGAACACCAAAAGTTGGTTCTTTGGAAAAACTAATAAAGTCAATAAAACCCAAGTAAACGTTATAAGGAAAATAAAAGGCACAAATAACCATAAGAGAAAAGATACAAATAACCAGTATCAGTATGAAGGGATCATCTCATAGACTGTGAAGACATTAAAAAATCAAACAGGAAAATATGAATAGCTTTGACCCAATAAATTTGAAAATTTAGATGAAATGAATACATTTCTTAAAAAACCAAAAATACCAACTTTCTAAAAGCACTTATAAGAATAGAAAACATGCATATCCTATAATTTTCAAACAGATGAAAAACTGTAACAAAAAAGTTTTTAAAAAATCTACAAAGAAAACTCAAGGACCAGTTGGCTTCATCAGCAAATTATACCAAATATTTATGAGAGAAATAATACCAATCCTATACAAACTGAGAATATAAAAGAGAAAGAGTCACAATTCTGCAACTTGTATTACAAAACCAGCCTATCTTTAGAACTAAACCGCATAACAGCACTACAGGAACGGAAAATGACTAGCCTGTATCACCCCTTACTGGCAAACTGTTATCAACAAATACATAAAAAGAATAATGCATTCCCACCACCTGAGCTTATTCCAGGACTGCAAAGCTGTTTAACGTTAAAATAAATATTCACTGTTAACAAAGTAAAAGAGAAAAACTTTATGATCATCTCAATTATATGCAGAAAACACAATTGATGACATTAAAAAGTTAATTCATGAAGAAAACTCTTAGCAAATTAGGATCTGAAAGCTGGTAAAAAAAAAATGCATTAGGCACATGATATCACTTATACATGTAATCTAAAAAACAAAATGGACTCATAAATAGAGAACTGGTGGGTACCAGACGGGACGGGGTGATGGGTAAAATATATGAAGATTAGAAAAGGTACAAACTTCCAGTTTTAAGTCAGAGATGAAAAGTACACCAGAGGGAATATAATCAAGGATATTACAACTTTGGTGACAGACGAGAACTAGACTTATCCTGGTGATCATTTCATAATGTACATAAATGTGGAATCACTATTTTATAAACCTGAAACTAATACAATATTGTATGCCAACTACATTCCAATTTAAAAACAAAACAGGGCGCCTGGGTGGCTCAGTTGGTTAAGCGACTGCCTTCGGCTCGGGTCATGACCCTGGAGTCCTGTAATCGAGTCCCATATCGGGCTCCCTGCTCGGCAGGGAGTCTGCTTCTCCCTCTGACCCTCTTCCCTCTCGTCCTCTCTATCTCTCATTCTCTCTCTTAAATAAATAAATAAAATCTTTAAAAAAAATAAAAAATAAAAAATAAAAAAAATAAAAACAAAACAAAAAAATTGCATTAGGCGAAAATGCCAAAAGCTTTCCCTTGAGAAGCGGAACCACACAAAGGTGCCTGGTAAGTGTGCTCTATTCAACACAGGCCCTCACCAGTGCAGTATGTCCAGAAAAAAAGAAATAGAAAGGCTTAGGATTAGAAAATAGAGTAACTGTCCTGTGCACATAATATTCAGTTGTGTACATTTTTTTTAAGTCCCCAAGATGCCATATTCCATAAATGAGTTTGCTAAGTCTTCTGGACACAAAGTAGATATGCAAAAATTATTTCTATATACCAGTAACAGTTAGAAAAAGGAATTTAAAAGATACCATTTATGATAGCATGAAAAATGACCAGAGAAAATTATAAAACATTACTGAAAGAAATTAAAGAAACCAAAATCAATAAAGGCATATAAGTTTACAGGTTGGAAGATTCAATTTTCTAAAAACATCAGTTCTCTCCATATGGATCTATTTTTATCAATCCAATCCCATTCAAAATTTTTAAAAGCTGACAAACTGATTCTAAAATATATTCGGAAATGCAAAAGGCAAAGAACAGCCAGGACACCTTGAAGGAAAGACAGGAAGACTTACGAAGATTCATTATAAAGAACAATTATGACTGTGGTCTGTCATGAGAACAGATAATGCGGATAATGAAACACACAGTTACCTGACCAATGACAAGCAAAGGCATTAATTACTTCAGAGACTGGTTAAAGGATGGTCTTTTCAATAAATAGTGCTAAGATAAAAGAATATTCACATGGAAAAAAAAGAAACTATTTCACACCATATATAAAAATCAATTCCAGATATACAGTAAATCTAGATGTGAAAGGCAAAATGATAAAGCTTCCAGAAAATAACAGAGGAGAAATCTTCGTAATCTTGGTAAAGGCACAGTTTGTTTTGTTTTTAAAACAGAACACACACTGGGGCGCCTCGGTGGCTCAGTCGTTAAGCTAAGTCGTTAAGTGATCCCAGGACCCTGGGATGGAGCCCCGCATCGGGCTCCCTGCTCCGCGGGAGGCCTGCTTCTCCCTCTCCCACTCATCCTGCTTGTGTTCCCTCTCTTGCTGTGTCTCTCTCTGTCAAATAAATAAATAATCTTTAAAAAAAAAAAAAAGAACACAAAGCTCACCATAAAGAAATAAACCATATTCCAATTATCACCAAAAGATACCATAAAGATGAAAAGACAAGCCACAGAATTAGAAAATCTTGCAATTCATATGGCGAACAATGGGGTCAACCGAAAAATAGAGGGAATGCTTACAAATCAAGACAAGGAAAAACCCAGTGGAAATACAAGCTGGAGTCTTGAACAGGCTCCTCAAAATAAATACATGAAAACATGCAGGAAAATACAATTTCAAACCATGATGATATACCACCAGAAATGCACCAAAGGGCTGAGATTTCATAAAGACAAAACCAAGTACAAACAAGTCAGGCTCTCATCCACTGGCAGAAATACAAATAGTTTTCTGCAGTGGTCGAATCCGTTAGGAACCATTGTTAATCTTCTCAGATGTGGTAATGGTCTTTTTATTATACAGGGAAATTCCTTGTTCTTAGAGGTTACACACTGAGCCAATTTAAGGGCAAATTTTATCTGTGACTCCCTTTCAAATAGTTTAGAAAAAACACACACACACCTGTAAATATACTGTACAGAAGAGATGAAGACGAAGCAGGTATGTTAAGATGTTAACAATTACTTGGGTCTGTATGTTCCACTTTTCTATTTGAAAATCTGCTCAATAAAAGGTGAAAAGCAAAAAGATCCAACAGATCAAAGATCTTAATACTAAGATACAATGGTCTTAAACGCCATTCTGTCAGCTCCCATACTCCATGGCCTTTTTCTCAGCCACTGTACCTTGTCTTTTAGCCCAAGTAGGTAGCAGGCATCAAAATGAGGAAATACGCTCTGGTTCCCACCTTCCAACAGATCAGAAAAGAAGGGGTCTTCTCAGGTTCACCAGGGCGCCCCACCCCACATGCTCAACACTCTCCACTCCAGTCTGCAGTCTGTTCTGTCCACCAGGGCAGGGGCTAGCAAGAGCCAGACAAGATTTAGGAGCACCCTCTCTGCCCCTGGCTGAACGTCTCCTTCTGTTTTACCACCTGGGGGCCTCTCTCCCCTCGCCCTGAACTCCGGCCCAGCCTTCGCCGATCTTCTCACCATACTAATCTCTCCCTTCACCCAGCCTATGTCATCCTCCCCCAAACCCCCGACACCCGCTCAAACGAATACACTTTGTTCACAGTTCAAGTCCCTCCGAGAGCCGCCTGTCTTCACCGTCTCCATTCCTCGGACGCACCTCATTCATTCCTGGGCTAACGTCCAATCCTTTCACCCACTTCACTTGTGCGACACTCAATAATAACCTTAGAGGTTTCAAACCTAAAGTACACTTGCCAGTCTCAACTTGTCTGAAGATTCTGCATTGCTTTAAGATTCTGTCTTTCTGACTTCCAGACTTAGTTTCCCAGAATCTCCTGGCGTTTCCTCTGTCCCTGGGTCCCCCGCTCCCCTCAGCGGCCCTCCAAACACTAAACAGGCTCCCCCTTCAGCCCCTTTCATTCTAACAGCCTGAGCCGATCCCACACCAGCGGTCTCACCTGACCCACAGGGTCCTGACCCCCTACAATATTATCTATAGCCTTGACTTCCTCAAATTCCAGATCTGTATACCCCAGTGTCTGTCAGGTATTTTCAATATGCCCCAAATCACAATGTTTCCCTTAAAAACCTTACCCTTTGCCTGTATTTCTCACTTTGGTCAACAGCATCCTGCATCCAATTAACCAGGGGCAGAATCCCATGTTTCTAGGCTAGTCTTCCCACACCAACCACAAGACCAACTGTTCTCGGGGCGCCTGGGGGGCTCAGTCGTTGAGCGTCTGCCTTCGGCTCAGGTCATGATCCCAGGGTCCTGGGATCCAGCCCCGCATCGGGCTCCCTGCTCCGCGGGAAGCCTGCTTCTCCCTCCCCTGCTCCCCCTGCTCCTGTTCCCTCTCTCGCTGTGTCTCTCTCTGTCAAATAAATAAAATAAAATCTTAAAAACAAAAAAGACCAACTGTTTTAAACTTTTTCACATCATGGTTCACCCCTCGGCCACCACACTGCTTACCCACCGCCGACTTTGTCCTTCATCCCTCCTGTTCTACTTGGTAACTCCCAAAATAAGAGAACACAAGCATTCCTCATTAGGTATCAGAGGACTGCCATCTGTAGCAGTGGTAAAACCAATCTCTTACCTTCGCCCCCATATCCAGGAGCTGGTCTGTAAACGTCTTTGAGTAATTTTCTGTTCCCTTCACTGACCAGACTTCAACGTATGCCACTACATCTGAAAATAAGCAAGACGTTAGCGTGAAATAAATGTGAAATTCCAGCATCGCTCCCCAAGAAGTTCAATAGATGTTTATGTCATTCTATTTGTATGAAAAAGTCAATTCAAAGCTGCTTCTATGAAAAGCCTATTCAAAATAGCATTAGTGCAATTAGGGTTCTTAAAACTCCAAACAAAGAACAACTTTATTCATACACACCCCAAGGCTTACCTTCTTTTTTTTTTTTTAAAGATTTTATTTATTTATTTGAGAGAGAGAATGAGAAATAGAGAGCACGAGAGGGAAGAGGTTCAGAGGGAGAAGCAGACTCCCCGCTGAGCAGGGAGCCCGATGCGGGACTCGATCCCGGGACTCCAGGATCATGACCTGAGCCGAAGGCAGTCGCTTAACCAACTAAGCCACCCAGGCGCCCCCAAGGCTTACCTTCTTAACACTGGATGCTCTTCCCAAATTCGTAGACTAGGCTTGACTTTTCTAGTGAAGAATGCGTTTTGTGCAAAGGACCATACAGCCACTCAACTTCCTGTACCAGGGACACACAATCCCCCACACCCTCAGGGGCACCCCACAGAGGCAGTGACGGTACCGGACTCCGGACAGCCCCCCGCTCCCCACAGGGACACCCCCCAGGGACGGGGACTGGACTGGACTCGGGGACAGCCCCCCGCTCCCCACAGGCACCGTGACAGCCCCTCCACACCCCACAGGGACGGGGACGGGACTGGACTCGGGGACAGCCCTCCACACCCCACAGGCACCGTGACAGCCCCGCACTCAGGTACTGCCTCCCTCCTCACGGGCCCGGGCTGACTTCCGGAAAGGCCAGGCTCCCCTCCCCACGCGCCTCGCGAGCCCAGTCCACGCGCCCGCCGAGACGTGTGCGCACGCCCTCGTGCCCGCCCGCTGCCGCCGACTCAACTCCCAGGGTGCAGGAAGTCCCCTCACCTTTCAAGACCTGCCGCCCTGGCGTCCCGGGAGCCGCCATGAGAGACCGTAGGATGCGCACCCGCCGCACCGCGCCAAACAAGGCGAGCTAGAATTGGGAGAGACTGAGCATGCGCAGGGCTGACGCGCGCCCCTCCCCTCCGGCTCTACGGAAATCCGCTCATCCACGTTTTCTAAACAGCCCAAGGAGGGTGGGGAAAAAATGTTAAGGCCTCCGCTTGCGTTAAAGGCGACAGAGGGGCTTTTCCACTGCCCAGTCTCGGGTTCGCCGCCGGACTAACGCTGCTGGTCAGCGTTCTCCTCCGCGAGTCTTTCTGTGCCCTTGGGAATCACGAGGCCCAGTGTCCCAAAGAAACCTAGTCAAACCCTTCTGTCTCCGTAAGGACACTTGGAAGCTTCCCGGAGCCTCACTTGGCCCACCCGGGAACTGCGGACGGAGAAGGGGCACAGTCGTAGTTCGCAGCGCTTGCGGGACTGGGAAAGTAACCGCTCCGAATCTCCGCCGCGCGGTCAGCCTCACCCCGCGAGCGCCGGGGCCCCGTGCGCGGCCCTGTGGTCAGCGCGCGGAATTACCGCTCGGAGGGCCAGGCCACTCCACTTCCGCGTCCCCGAGAGCGCCTGCGGGAAGGCGGGCGCCGCCGGACACCCCGGTCCTCGGATCCCGCAGGGAGGAATGGGGGACCCCGGACCGCAGATCCCCGCCGTGGGACAGGCGAGAGCTGGGTTTCAGACCCCCGCGGGGGACTGTGGAAACTCCGGACCTCAGATCCCGCAGCGGGACCGGGGGGTGGGGGAAGCTGGGTCTCAGACTCCGCGGAGAGGACCCTAGACGTCAGATACTGCAGGGGGGCGGGGGGCCGTGGGGACCCTGAACCTCAGATGCTGTCGGGGGGGCGACCCCGCATCTCAGATCCCGCAAGGGCCGGGGAAGTTGGGTCTCACACTCCGCTATGGGGAGCCCGGGCATCGACTCTGCCTGGGGCTGCGGAGACGCCAGACCTCAGATCCCGGCTGGGGAGGGCGGGGAACCCTAGACCCGAGACTACGGCTGTGGCCGTCCCACTCGAGCTTTGCCGCCCGCAAATCCCGGAGCGGACAAATCCGGGCGGGAGCGGGCGAACCCGGGCGGGAGCGGGCGAGCCGGGGCGGGAACTCGAGAGATCCGCGTTGGTAGACAGCCCTGCAGCAGCGCCGCTCACCCTCCGGGGGATTCAAACCTCCCGCCCGCGGAGCCCCGCCCACGCCTGCAGGCCCCGCCCCGGGGCTGCGCACCCGAGTCCTGCGGGGAGCCGCTAGCCTAGCCGGGGCTGCGCGCGTTCCCGCGGCTCCTGGAGACGCCGGTTTTAGGACAGGAACGGTCTTGCTCGGCTGTTGATAAAAACTTTAGTCTCTCTGAAACGCCGACTCAGTTAAAGGATCCATGCCTTGTATTAAAGGATGAACCACCGAATGTATAAAAGCATTCATTTCCAATGATTTTAATACGTTAATAGTAAAAATAATAGCTGCCATTTGTTGAGCACTTCATCATGGGCTTTAGATGTATTATCAAAGTTAATCTTACCTATGAGCTGAGTGTTATTACAATTTACAAAGCACTTGTGTACATATATGTATTTCCTCCTAGACTCTCATTAACATTGTGTATTTTTGGAAGTGTTCGTTATATCCTGGAGATCAATAGTGGACTCATTCTCTGCCTCCCCTCCCCCCCCCACCTCCATTAAAATTTAAAAAGCTTTATCTTTTTCCCTACTTTGGATCTTTTGATGCTCACAAAGGCCCTGCTAGAAAAAGTAAGTAGGGGCACCTGGGTGGCTCAGTCCCTAAGCTTCCAACTCCTGATTTGTGCTCAGGTCATGATCTCAGGGTTGTGAGATGGAGCCCGCACAAGCTCAGTGATCAGCTGGGATCTGCTTGAGATTCTTTCTCCCTCTCCTTCTCCTTCTGCCCTCCACCGACCCCACCATCAAGTACATGGTCGCATGGGTGCGTGCTCTCTCTCTCAAATATTTTTTTAATTTAAAAAACCAATATTATCCCATTTATACACATAAATAATCATGTCCAAGGGAGATACCTGACCAGCCTAAGGTGACATAGCCAGGAACTGGTGGTGTTGGTTGGAACTGGAAACCATACATTTATCATTTTGTTGGTTGGTTGGTTGGTTGGTTTACTAAATCCAGTGGCAGGGTATATGTACAAGAATATGGACTGCCATCTCCCACACTGTGGTTCTAAAGAATTACCTTGAGCATATGCAGCCCCCAAACCCCACTTCCTAGACTCGTATCTCTGATAAGTAATTATATCATTATCACAAATTGTTGACCTAACAAACTCTGAAGAAATAGTAACACCCTTTTCCTGGGAAGGTAGGCTTAGCTCATTACTGATAAAGCTATTGTCCTCGCCACATAAGTGATTTAGAATCCAGTAATGATGCAATAACCAATCACCTTTGCTTTGTACAAAAGGTGGTATAAAAGCTCAGTATCTAATAGATTCTAAGCTTTAAGGTCACAAATATTTTCTCCAATTTCTTTTAGAAATGTTATAGTGTTAGGTTTTGTATTTAAGTTTAGGATCTATTTTGAGTTAATTTTTGTATATGGTAGAGATAGGGACCTAAGTTAATTTTTTTGCATATAGATATCCAAATATTCCAGCATCATTTGTTGATAAGCTTTTTTGTCCACTGTATTCACGCCTTTGTATCTTACTTAAAATCAATTGTGCATAGATGTGTGGTTTATTTTTGGACCTCCTATCTGTTCCATTGAGCTATTGGTCTATCTTTATAACCAATATTGTACTGTTTTGATTACTGTAGATTTATAAATAAGTTATAAAATAAGGTAATGTAAGCCCCAAAACTCTCTTCTTTCATGAAATTGTTTTATATATTCTAGATCTTTTGTATTTCCAGGTGAATCTTAAAATCATCTTGTCATTTTCTACCAAAAAAAAGGAGGGGGGTGCTGCTAGGATTTTGACAGGGATTATGTTGAATCTCAGATCTATTTGAGGAAGATTTGACATCTTTAAAATATTAAATCTGGGGCACCTGGCTGGTTCAGTCGGTAGAGCCTGCAACTCTTGATCTCAGGGTAGTGAGTTCAAGCCCCACATTGGGTATGGAGCCTACTTTAAATAATTTTTTAAAAAATATTAAATCTGGGGCACCTGGGTGGCTCAGTCGTTAAGCGTCTGCCTTCGGCTCAGGTCATGATCCCGGGGTCCTGGGATCGAGCCCCGCATCGGGCTCCCTGCTCCGCGGGAAGCCTGCTTCTCCCTCTCCCACTCCCCCTGCTTGTGTTCCCTCTCTCGCTGTGTCTCTCTCTGTCAAATAAATAAAATCTTTTAAAAAATAAAAATAAATAAAAAATATTAAATCTTTTGATTCATTAACATTTATTTAGGTCTTCTTTAATTGCTCTCATCAATGTTTTGTACTATTCAGAGGATGAGTCTTTTATAACTTTTGTCAAATTTCAAATTCCAACCTAAGTGTTACAATTTTTGATGATATTGTAAATAACTTTTTACAATTTCAATTTCCAATGGAAATATGATTGCTGTTTGTAATCAATCTCATGTCCTGCAAACTTGCTAAATTTAATTAATAGTCCTAACTGATTTTTTATACATTCCATACGATGTTCTACAGACAGTCACGTTGTCTGTTTTGGGAAGAAAACTTTTTTCTTCCAACTTGAGTCCAGTGAATGGGGGCCTACAGTTAAGGATAGACAGATTAACAGGAGAAAAAAAAAAAAACAAGGCTTATTTTCATGTGCTCTCTGTACATGTAGAAGAAGTACTCAGTAATGCGTGACTCACTGAGTAGCTAGAGATAAAAGGTTTATCTACCAAACCTAGTAAAGTTTTGGGCTTTATGGTAAAGTTATGGACAGTTCTCTTGGGCTTTGAGATATTCATGGGACTTGGCAGTCTCTGGCAGCTGAATTCATAGGAAACTCTCTTGGAGGAGTGTTAACGGCAGGTGTATATTCTGGAGCCTCTGCTTTCAGATAAGGGAAGTTCAGACAACGTTTCTGCATCTTCTTTAGCTTACATGTCTTCACTTTAAAATAATCTTTATACCAATTCTGGTGGTCCAAGTGGGTTCCCAGATATACAAATAAAGGCAGCATGGCTTCCTGCTTTTCAATCCAGATGTCTTTCCTTTCTTTTTCTTGCCTGCTTATGCTGGCCAGAAACTAGTCCAGTGGTTCTGCATCAAGGGGCAGTTTTGTCCCAGGAAACATTTGGTAATGTCTGGAGACATTTGGGTTGTCACAATTTGGGAGTGGGGAATTGCTACTGGCATCTAATGAGTAGAGGCCAGGGATATTGCTAAACACCCATTAGTGCCCAGGACAGCCTCCGAAACAAAGAATTACCCGGGCTAAAATGTCAACATCGCCAAGGTGGAGAAACCCTAGTCCAGCAGAATGTTGGGTAGAAGAGGTAAGGGTATCATCCTTGTCTAGTTCTGGGACTTAGGGAGAAAGCATCTAGCCCTTCGATGTTAGCTGTGGGTCTTTCATGGGTGCCTGTTAACAGGTTGAGGAGGTTCCTCTGTCTTCCTCTTTTGCAGGAGTATTCCATTTTTTAAATTGGGAATGTTTGAAATCAGGATGTTTGGTTTTGTGAAATGCTTTTTTTTTTTTTAATCTACTGAAATGATCATATGGTCTTTTCTAGTTTGTGAACAGGGAGCTACACTGACTGATTTTTGAATGTTGAAATAAGCTTGCATTTCTAAGATAAACCCTACTCAGTCATGATGTACCATCCCTTTAACATGTTGTCAGATCTGTTGTTAAAATTTGTTTAGAGTTTTGGCCTCTGTGTTCATGACAGATTTGGGTCTGGAAACTTGGAGATACAGGAAAGAATTAAAAAATAACATGTGTCGGGGCATATGGGTGGCTCAGTCGTTAAGTGTCTGCCTTCTGCTCAGGTCATGATCCCAGTGTCCTGGGATTGAGCCCCATATCAGGCTCCCTGCTCAGTGGGAAGCCTGCTTCTCCCTCTCCCACTCCCCCTGCTTGTGTTCCCTCTCTCGCTGTGTCTCTGTCAAATAAATAAGTAAATAAAATCTTTAAAAAATAAAAATAAAAAAAAGTAACGTGTCTGTTAGCCTCAAAAAGTTAAAAATAGAGCTACCCTATGACCCAGCAATTGCACTTCTGGGTATTTACCCCAAAGACAGAGATATAGTGAAAAGAAGGGGCATATGCACCCCAATGTTCATAGCAGCAATGTCCACAATAGCCAAACTGTGGAAGGAGCCAAGATGCCCTTCAACAGACAGATGGGTAAGGAAGATGTGGTCCATATATACAATGAATATTACTCAGCCATGAGAAAGGATGAATACCCACCATTTGCATCGACATGGATGAAACTGGAGGGGATTATGCTAAG